CTCAAGGCTTGGGACAGCCCTTTCCTGGTAGCTTTAGCTCTTCGTTTTTTAAAAATATGTAAATGATATTTACCAACAGTGATGACCTGCTTAATGGGGTGGAAGTGGCAGGATTCTTAGGTGGAAATGACCATGTTCTGGAATTTGTCATACAGCAGAAAGAAGAAGCTAGGCATACTCAGACATGGGAAATACTGGGTGTGATTTTGTGGTCAGGAATACTAACAGAGAAGGGGGTTCATGAGGGATGGGAGTTTCTTAAAAGTGAAATATTGAAGGCGCAACTTCAAACAGTGAGAAGGAAAATGGGAGGCGTCAAACAGAGCCCTTCAAAATATTAGCAGAAGATGGTTGTATCAACTAAAGGACAATGTTCCAGTAGGCTGGAGGCTGAAGTATTACTTCTGCCACAAAAGGGCCATTCTAACATGATATAATGTTTGGAGAAGCTACTTCTTCTACAATGCCCAGATTCTCAAAGTCAGTACAGCCATAGAATTCTGAGCACTGTAGTCCGAAAAGTAACTACTCCCAAGCTGTTTTTGTACTTTCTCTGACTTTCCAGTTGTTTCATAAAGGGAGGGAACTCACCAGCTCCCCCCCTGGAAGATTCATGGATGAAAGGAGCAGGACAGAATCCAGTCTGGAATTGGTTTCAACTTTCCACCGTTTCTGTTGAACCTATAAAAAAACAAGGAGAGACTTGTTTTCATAAACAACCCAAAGCTGTGAACAAGAATTAACAACTTGTGCCACTTAAGATGTTGCCATAGATTGCAACTCTCAGCATCCCTCATTGCTGCCCATGCTGGCCAGGACTGATGGACTCTAGAGGCCAAAAAAGATCCGAACAGTCATAGATGCCCACCTCTGTTTCAAAACAATCAAATATTCCTCTGGTGTAGAGAAGATTTCATATGAGGAATAACAAATTCATTCATAAATGATTTACAGCACAATGTAACTTTTTAAACTGACTTACACCACATAACTGACTTATACCACATAAATTTTTAAAAAGCTTTACTTTGTATTGCTATTTTTAAAAAGATACTGTGCCACTGTATTGTTTGCTTTACTAGCATGGGGATCAGGGCCCAATTTGCTCTCCAGCACGCCCCATGGGCCACACACCCCACAGCAAACCGAAATACCTCTGTTTTCCTCCAAATTTGGGGCATAATTTTAATAATTATTAGTTTATATTCCATATTTTCAAGAAGATGCCCATTTGTGTACAAGTCAGCATTCCGCAGAAGCAAACTATAGCTGTTCCCAGTAAATATAACCTTATATTCATTTTTTTAGAAAGAGATGGGGGGATTTCAATCTAAAACTAAAGTATATTGTTTGTTAAGGAAATAATCATAAAAATAATCAGGAGTAGCTTTGGATATTTTGAGGTGTAAAAGCCAAGAAATCACTCTGGTACCTCTGTGATTCGCCCAACCACAATGTCACCGACTTCACCATTATATCTGCAAGCAGAACAAAATAGAGGGTACATTCAAGCTAAGCCTTTCCTTCTGTTCATAGTTTTATTACAGTATTAGCACTTGTAAGTACACATCAAACAGAAAGTGAAATGAGATCAACATTATATTCAAGAAAGCATTCCAATATCTCAAATCTAAAATGTGGTGTGTGGATCTCACATGTTTTTAAATGCATATATGTTGATACAAACATTTGGAACTTCTGTGTTATGCAATAAAAATACTGGCACCCTATTTTCAAAGCAGAGAGGGTCCACTCAGGAGGTCTGAACATTTGAGAAGAACTGACAGCTAAAACTTCTTGCCACAACTCACACATAAAATGCTGAACATAAAAATGTTATCACTAGCAAATTGGATTCTGTCCTTTCAGGGCTTTTGATTAGAAAGTTTCTTCTCCATTACAACAATTGGAATGACATAGAGGAATCCAATAGCAGCTTTGAGATTAGCTGGGGAAAAACAATTTCTAGCATAAACTTTCCTGGCCTCTCAACCATCTGACGAAGTAGGCCACAAAAGTTTATGCTACAAATGCCTTTTTCCCAGTTACTACTAGATTCCTTTATACCTTTTTATGCTAAAACAGATTAACATTTATTTATTTATTTATTTATTTTGTATGCTGCCTTTCTCCTAGGAAGGACCCAACACATCTATCTATTTCAATACATCACTTGACCTAACACAGCAAAGCTAGGAAGACAAGCAATGACACAACTACCATTGTTATGGAAAGATTATCACACACTTATCTTCTGTGCATCTGAACTTTCCACAAATATGTCTACAACTCCTGGGCCCTAATGTTTACTTAATTTGTTGTTGTTGCTGTTAACTACATTTGTGTCAACTTCAGCCCATAGTGAATCTCTATCTTTGAGAAATCTCCAAGACAACCTATCCTCAATGCCTTGCTCAGCTCCTGCAGATTCATGGCTATGGCTTCTCTGATTGAGTCTGTCTTCCTGGAATGTGGTCTTCTTCTTTTCCTCTTTACCTCCATTTTACCAAGAATTATGAGTGTTGGGCTACAACTCTGGAGACCAGGGTTTGATCCCCAGCTTGGCCACAAAACCCAGTATGTGACCTTGGGAGTCACACTCTCTCAGCCTCAGGGGAAGGCAATGGCAAACCTCCTCTGAACAAATCTTGTCAAGAAAACACCATGATAGTTCACCTTAGGGTTGCCATAAGTCAGAAACAACTTGAAGGCACACAGCATACATGGTCTTTTCTAGTCTTACTTACTTACTTGTGAGCCCTTTCTTCACATATGCCCAAAATATCACAACCTCAATTTAATCATCTTTGATTCTAGGGAGAGTTCAGGCCCAACCTTCTCTAGGACCCATCCATTGGTCTTTTTAGTGGTCCACAGCATTATCAAAACCCTTCTCTAGGATTTTTTTTCAATATCAGCTTTCTTCACTGTCTAATTTTCACAACCATACAAAGAAATGGGAAATACAATGGCACAGATATATACCAGGATCTTGTCTAGTTCTTCATAGCTGCCCTTCCAAGTCCTAGTCTTCTTCTGATTTATTGACTTGAGTCTCAACTTTGATGATTGAACCCAAGTATGGAAAATCTTGGACTATTTCAAACTCCTCATCATCTAAAGTTATGTAGATAGTCTCTTGATGTTCAGTTGTAAACATGCTTTGCATTTTCTGCAAAGAGAGCAGCAAGTTGAAAGCTGGGCTGGACTTTGCCATCTAGTCGCCCAGCTCTCCTTCCCACCTTTCCACCTGGACGCCGTGGGAGCCAGGCGGAGTCTGCTGGGGCTGGGCATGATATTTAGCCCTCCCCAACCCCCCTTCTCCATAGAACATCCCACCCAGCAACACAGCGGCAGTGGTGGCCTCCGAGCCGTATGGAGGACAGGCAGAGGCCCAAACCGGGAAACGGACTAACAGCTGTTGGGTCTGGGAGTGTTCATAGTTACCAAATCCCCTTCCCCCATTCCTGTCGGTGATTGGGCTTCGTGGCCCTACAGCTCCCCTCTTTACCTGAGGCTGGGAATGATGTGGGGGTGACAATTGGAGTCCTGTTGGGGAATGGGAGATATGGTCGAAAGTGAACAGATGTTACAAAAGAAGATCGGATTGCTGTTTATTAGCTATCCCTCCTTCAGTTCACTGTTTCCCAGAATGGTTTGGAGCGCTTACCAACCCTTCCACAGAACCTCACTCTGCTCCTCTGCAATGCCAGGTCAGTCAAGAACAAAACTCATATTGTCTATGATCTTCTTACAGATGAGAATGCCAACCTGGCTTGCTATAGAGAGACCTGGCTGGGAGAGGACAGCGCTGTTATGTGGGCGCAGGCCCTCCCAGCCGGGTACTCTGTCATTGAGCAGGTGAGGGGAAGTGGGCGGGTGTGTGTGTCGTGGAGTGGCTCTGGTTTATAAGAACAATCTGACTCTGACCAGGATACCTATCCGGAAAACAGCCCACTTCGAGTGTATGTACCTTAGCCTGAGGACCAGACATTGTCTGGGGATTCTGCTAGTAAACCACCACCCCATTGTCTAGCAGACTCCCTAACCGAACTGACTCAACTGGTCTCTGAATTGCTGCTGGAGTCGCCCAGGCTTCTTGTTCTGGGTGACTTCAACATTCCACTCGAGACCAGCTTGGCAAATCTATCAGGAATTCATGGAAACCATGACAAACATGGGCCTATCCCAACTGGTCAGCAGGCCCACACATTGTGCAGGTCATACACTCAATGTGATCTTTAGTACGGAACAGGAATATCCATGGGAGGAGGTAATAAAAACCACCACCTTGTCATGGACGGATCATTTCCTGGTTAAGACTAAGCTTAGAGCCTGTGTCCACCCCTCTGGGAGTGGTGGACCTATTAGAATGGTCCGCCCTCGAAGGCTAATGGAACCAATTGGATTCCAGAAAGCCTTGGAGGGTTTAATGGTTGCTAATGCCGGCAACCCTGTCGAAGCTTTGGTTAACACTTGGAACACCAATTTTACCAAGGCTATCGACACAATCGCTCCCGAGCGTTCTTTCCAACCCGCTTCAAACAGAAACAATGGTATACATTAGATCTTAGGAAAATGAAGCTGGCTGGACAACGACTAGAGCGCAACTGGCGGAGATCTCGACTCTCATCTGACCAGACTCGTCATAAGAACTTTCTTCGGTCCTATCGTAGGCAATGCTTGCAGCACAGAGATCTTTCTCCTCTGCATGTATTGCGTCTGCAGAGTCCCATCCAGCAGAGCTGTTTAGGGTGGTGAGGGAGCTGACGCAGATACTTCCTGCACCAAATCCTTTACTTAACCCGACAACTGCCTGCTGTGACGCATTTAACAGCTTCTTTGCAGATAAAATCTCTCAGATAAGAGCCGACTTAGACGCCAGTATTTCAACAGAAACAATAGACAAGGTGTCCAGGGGCTCTGTTAATTATGTTTGCCATTGTCTTTGCCTGAGGCTGAGAGCATGTGACTTTCCCAAGGTCACCAAATGGATTTCATGACCACGTTGGGAATCCAACCCTAGTCTACAGAATCACAATCCATCACTCAAAACACTATGCCACGCTGGCTCTCACTTAACTCTTAATTTACTATCTCTCAGTTTCTGTGCGCACATGTATGTAAGACGTATCACATCTTACAAAGCTGGTCCTATGCCAAAGAAGCATAGCTTTGGTAGCTTCCCTTGCCCCTGGGACAGCAGACTAACCCAGTTACCCCTAAAAGATCAGAAGCCACTCACCTGGTTTTCAGAGCTTTCACACAGACCAGTTTATTCACCCGCTCCACCACGCCAGCCACAGATGCCATAAGTTTCTCATCCGCCAGGTACGTCCCATGGCCCCTGCCAAAAACAAACAAGCCCCAGTTGTTAGCTGCTGTCAGCTTGGTCTTAGACTTGTGGTGATCTTTAGGAACCCTGAAGGCAGGAGATGGGCAAAGTGCAGCCCTCCAGAGTTTGTCTGACTGCAGCTCCCAACAGCCAGTGTTGAGGAATACTGGGAAGTATAGCCCAAGAACATATGAAGGGTCACCACACTGCGATAACTTCACTTAACAGAGAACAACTAATGCTTGTCTTTGCATCCTTTTCCTCTTTCTAAGTCTGCACTAATTAAACTACATGGCATGGAAAGCGACAGAGAGAAGAACCTTCTCCTTTATTTCCAGACGCCAGGAGGGTCCTCCAATGGCACCAACTGCATGTAGATACAGGATGGCCCACCCCCAGCAATCCCCCACACAGCAAAGTTTGGTGAATAAACATTTTAATACAGACAACATTTGATTATTCACGGATTTTATTAATGTGTTCTCTCTGGGAATATCTAGGTCCTCCAGTGCAACTCTATGGTCAACTTTAACCAAACGTCACACTGAAGGGCCTAGAGATTCCAGAGTGGACACTCCGCTAGGCAAATTCAAGCAAAAAATCATCAGTGATACCTTTATTGGCCAACCAAAATGCACAATATACTTGTTGTAAGCCAGGGGTAGGCAACCTTTCCCCTTTAAGGGCCGAGGGACTTCAGCTTCCAGAAGCCTCAGCCATGTTGGCCAATAGCTCCTGAGATTCTGGGAGCTGAAGTCCCTCAGCCCTTAAAGGGGAAAGGTTGCCTACTCCTGTTGTAAGCTTTCGAAGCTCCATGGGCTTCTTCATAAGGCAAGACGTTACAAACCACACAGGAGAAAAACAACTGGAGCTGTTAGTCAGATGCCTACATGTTGCTTCAGTCTTTAGTGAAAATGGTATATGGTGGGGAGGATATCTTTAGCAGGTAGGATCCTCCTTCTTCTGGCCCTGTGGCTATAAGGAGATTTTCCAAGTCCAGGAAATTTAAAATCCATTTGCACTCCATTGGGCATTTGTAGCTCCTCCAGCGCAATTCTATGGTCAATGTCTGGCAGATGTTGACCACAGAGTTGGCCTGGAGGACCTAGAGATTCCTAGAGAAGTGTTCTCTCAGGTAAAAACATAGTCTTTTTGTTATTTGAGGTTTTCTCACATTCACGGGGGTGCTGGGCCCCTAACCACAGCGAATGGGGAGGGACGAGTGTACTTACTATTGCCAGCACTTTGCATGTGCCCAGGGGCATTTTTGCTCGAATCGCCAAGCAGGAGTTCAACTGCCCCACAGACTGTACCTACCATCATCTTATGCGCAACCTCCCAATGTGTTGAACTGAAGCTTCCATTATCCCCTCCCATGCTCCTCCTGCCGCTTCCAAAGTCCTGGCCAGTGGGCACCTTGCGCGGGGATGATGGGAGTTGCAGTCCAAGGCGCCTAGACGTCGCCTGGTAGAAGAGCCCCGGCTGCTCCCCCTCACCTCATGTATCCCGGGTCGGTGGTGATCGTGTCCCCCGGAGCCACCAGGTCCCGTTCCCCGTTCGTCGCCCCGGCCCCCCGGGGAAGGCTCTGCGCCGCCCGCCTCCGAGCAACAGGCAGCCGAACCTCTACCGCAGCCGCAACCGCCGCCATTTTAGCTGAGGGCATGGGGCATTTCCGGTGATAGAAACTCCTGAAGGCCAAGGCGGAAGTGGCAACGCTCACTACCGTCTGTGCTGCCGCCATCTTAAGTGAGGGCGCCGGGAGCTTTCGTTCCGTGAAGTAAACTCCCGACGGCCAAGGCTCTCACCTCTAGCCGCCATCTTCGGTGAGGGCGCCAGAGGCTTCCGGGCCGCGAGGGAGGGCTGAAGTGCGTGACCCTCGCTTCCGGCTGCACGGCCGCCATCTTAAGCGAGGGATCCGGGGGCTTTCAGTCCACGGAAGAACCTCCTGAGGGCCGAGGCGTCTCTCTCTTCCCTGCGCCCTCTTCTGGTCCCTTCTGGGCCTGAGCGGTGCTTCGTGGCCGCTCTCTCCGGCGGGAAGGGCACGGGCGACCCCTCCTGGATGGTTTTGGGGCGCGGGGCGGGAATTCTAGGGGAGCTGGGCGGGGATCACGGCCCTCTGGAGAGCCCTCAGGTGACTCACACTCTCCACACTGGAGAAATAACCCGGTTTGGCACCGCTTTAACTGCCCTGGCTCAAGGCTGTGGAAATCTGGGAATTGGAGTTTGTTGTGGGCCCCAGAGCGGAGCAAACACAACGAACCCCAATTCCCAGAATTCCATAGCCTTGAGACAGGACAGTTTTAAGCTTCGCTCCACTCTGGGCCCCACAACAAATTCCAATTCCCAGAGTTCCATAGCCTTGAGCCAGGGCAGTTAAAGTGGTGCCAAGCCAGGTTCTTTCTCCAGTGTGGATGGAGCCTTTAAAACTCATTCCCTGTCCCTCCATTTCCCAGGGGAAAATGAAGTCTGAGGCAGCATCCACTCCAGAAATAATCCAGCTTGACACCTCTTTGGCCTCATTCCCACTTACAAATAAAGCAGTTTGTGATCCAAATTGATGGATCAGTCCGATAGCGGAGCGCGGTTCACACTCCATTTGCCCCGATTGCATTTTCTTGTTGTAAAATAACCCACTTGTCGTTCACATTGGCTAATGAATCGATTCAAATGGACCTTCTTCAGCCGGCCAGCAAATTTAAAAGGCAAATCTAAATCAATTCCGATCCGCATCCCGTTCACACTTGCGCTGAATTGATTTATTGCAAAAGACACGGAAAAAATTAGTGTCAAAAAGACACTCGCGGAGTGATTCACCTCAAGTGTGAACAAGGGTCATTAAACTTCAAACTGGTTAGCGAACTGGTTTATAACGTAATGGCTCACTGCTATGGGATTCTGGGAACTGAGGTTTCCAGAGCTCTTCTCTGGTGCCACAACAAACTACAGTACCCAAAATTTCTGTTGCATGGAACTATTGCATTTAAAGTGGTGTCGAACTGGATTATTTCTGCAGTGCGGGTACATTTTGACATTCCATACCTTTCAACTGCCCAGCCAAACAGGGACAGCCACAATTAGCCTTTTTTTTATCCCACTTTTTCGGTTGCTTTTAAACTGTCCCACTTTCTCTCTTCTCCTTGCACTTCCCTCTTCTGTCCTCAGCTTACTACAGTTACTGCAAACTGAGTTCAAAGTGCAAAAGAAGTTTGCACTCCATTCATTCAACAGGGAAAGCAGAATCCTACCCTTCCCAGTGGACTCAGCCAAACTGCTGCAGCCTCTCGCAGCTTCTGTGTCCTTCCTCATTCATAACTTTTGCTCTCTTGACCATACTCTGATGTATCTTGGGCATACAGGTCCCAGTTTTCACCTGTGAAATGTTGGTATTTTTACTCACCATGGCACTACCTTTCCACTGCAGTGGGACTGCGTGCTGCAGGTTACGGTGAGCTGCTGGAAGGATCTCCCATGTCAGACATTTGCTGGGGGACCAGACTAAATGTGCCAAACAGCTACTGGGCAGCAGCAGTTGTGGAGGCGGAGTGACATTAGCGGAGGATCTTTCAGAGACAACAGCAGCGGCACCATAGCTAACACCTGTTAGTACTGCACAGGAGGAGGCATGGTAAACCCCTTGGTTTTAGTTTCCTTTAACCAAAACCAAATGATGATACAATCCAAAATGAAACAAGAGATAGTGTCAATAGATAAGACTCCCATGTTGGAAGGCACTCAACAAGCTGCTGGGAAAGAGCAGAAGACAAGGACAAGTAGCACTGTGACTAATGATGCCACTGGCCTCAAACCAAAAGGACGTCCAGTTGACATACTCAGAGGCAAAAGGAGAGTCTGAATCTGCACAAAACATAGTAGAACATGGAATGTGAAAAGCAAGAATCAAGAAAAGCTGGACACAGTAAAACAAGAAGTGTAACATATAAATGTTACAATATTTGGGGTGAGCAAGCTAAAGTGGATAGGGATGGAACATTTGAGTCAGATAGTTACACAGTGTTTTACTCAGAAAATGAAAATCTAACAAGAAATGAAGTGGCATTTATAGTGAGAGATGTACAAAAAGCAGCCAAGGGGAATAATCCAAATTTATGTCCAATTATAGAGACAGAAGAAGAAATTTTAAAAAATACTATGCTGGAATGCAGGAGGAAAGTGATCACACACCATACAAGACTTCGTGTTAATCACAGGTGACTGGAATCCAAAAGCAGGAAACAGCAGAAGCAAAGATTGTACAATTTGGCCTAGATTTAAGAAATGAAGCAAGAAAGTGGCTGATTGAATTTTGCAAGGCCAACAGTTTGTTCAGCACAAACTCATTCTTCAACCAACTAAAGAGGTGACTATATGCATGGACACCACCTGATGGGCAATAAAGAAATCAAGTAGACTATATAATTGGAAGTAGAAGATGGAGAAGCTCCACTCCCTCTGTAAAACCAAGACCAGGAACAGATTGTGGCATTGCTAATATACAAAATTAGAGTGAAGCTAAAAAAGAACACTAAACCAATCATCATGCCAGAATACAACCTGAAGAACATCTCTGTATAATTTAAAAGATAATGTAAAAAAACAAAAATAGATTTGCACTGTTATGCTTAATTGATTGGGAGCCAGAAGAACTCTGGACTGAAGCCAGGGACACTGTCACAGAGACATGTAAAAAAAAAAAAAAAGACACTATATGCAGCCAAAAAGAAAAAGAAGCTTCAATGG